TGCAGTGATTGTGATGTTGGGCTATGTACTGACCAGTGTTTTCAGGATTACCACACCAAACTCAACTTTTAGCAGTTCGAGTGAGTAAAAAAATATTATTTATCATAATTATATTAAAATATATATATATAGTTTTGTTCTTCGTTTCATTATGAATATTTCTGTGAAAATTTCATCTCAATATACCTATTTTTGCGAGAGTTACTAAATTTTTCATGGATAAGTCCATTTTTCTGTTTAATAATTAAATACCCCGTCGGTTTCGCGGTAGGAAAAGATTTAAATACTATCCGTCGCGGAAGGGTTAAAGTCCACACAATGGAAATGTACAGAGGAATGGAGGTAAGATCCATTTTAATGTTACCTTCCTATCTATGCCCAGGTCTATATCGTGGTCTCATTCCATCAGGTTTTCACATCAAAACTTTATACACACTTTCCTCACTTATACAAATAACACAGGTATAATATTTCTGTATACTGTGTAGCAATAATGCATCTGAAACTAACCTGCTTCAGAAGTGCATTACAGATGAGTTGTAGTTTATCAACAGTGACATCTACAGGCAGATCTAATACACTGCTGATTTCTTCTCCAGTTTCTGACTTCAACCTTGACAGTATTCTGACTGCCTCCCTCTTCTCTTCCATCCTGCAGTAACATACACGAGACATCAGCACAGAACATCTTGAGATCTGAGCTTTTTGAGTTGGAGACAGAAGTTCATATCGTGGTCTTCTGGGTAATGAGGTTAAGTGGTGTGGAATTATTATAATTGACAGTGGGGTGAGGCTGAGTCCGCTTGGTATTGCGGCCACTACTGCCCTATTGTACCTGCCCCAGATGATAGATGATGGTGATTGTGGAGCAATTGGTGGAATGAAGATTGGCAGGGAAAACCGAAGTACTCAGAGAAAACCTGCCCCAGCGCCACTTTATCCACCACAAATCCCACACAACCTGACCCAGTCTTGAACCTGAGCTGCCATGGTGGGAAGCCAGTGACAAACCACCTGAGCTATGGCAGGGCCTAAGTGGTGTGGTAAGAGGGTACCAGTGTTTCAGAGAAACATACTGCTGCCATAGATGTGGAGCCAGTATGACGCCCTATCCCAAAAATGTTGGTAACAAGCCACCAGCCTGCCTTACATTACATTAGATTACATTGAATTGCATTGCATTCCCTGGATCCAAAGTTAGTCAGACTGACTGTATGATGTGGAATATGTCATATAAATACAAAACATATGTGCAGTACCACTGAAGTTTTTACACAAGAAAACACATTGCTTACGCATAACGCTATTCAAAAATACATCCACATACATACTTGTACAACAATACTATCAATTTATGCTATTTATACAACTTTAAATGGATGAGTCACTCTTTACACAATAAGTATTCATCAAAAGAGTAGAAAGAGTGTATCGTTTTAGTGCTAATTTAAACTATGCTCTTTGATTCATAAGACTTTTGAAATCACATGGCATTTAAATGAAAATTTTGATCCGAGTATAATATGTGCTTTTGTGAAAGCATGAGAGGTTAGCAGTCGGTTTACAAAGATACTGCTTGTGTCTTGTGTTCACACTATGTACATTTGCATTGGTCTGAAAAGGTTCTTTGTTGTTTCTAATGAAGTTTATTGATGAAAATATATATTCACATGGAAATGTCTCTTAAATAGATCTCTACAAGACTCCCATCATGAGTCTTAACAATTTTCTTTTGCAATGTAAATACCTTTTTGCTGTCAGATGAATTTACCCCAGAAAAATGACTGCACAAATTAAAAGGAAGAATAACAAACAACACAACAAGAACAATGAACCTAAGTGGAGACCAATGCTAACATCACTGGCCTGTGGACCAGTGATCACTGATAGTAATACTAAAGTAGTAATTAAAATATTTTAGAAATCATTAGACAAACTGATTTCTAAAGCGCTGGTTACAGTATACACTATGACAGATATGCTGCCACCAGTGCTTGCTATGACATAATGATCCCAATTCATGGAGTGCCAATTTGTTCTCACATATGCAAACTAACATTTGCTTGCGACTGCCATTTACAAGCAGAGCACAGGAATTTTTGCTATGTAGCCTAGCTGATAAATATACAGGCTTTCACATGACATACAGTAGCAACTTTGTGGATCAATTCTTCTGTGAGTTTTTCCATCTAAATACATCATCAGATTCATCAAGATGTGCTTTACATCCCTCTTCTTTGTGCTTCTACTTATCATAGTAGACTGAAGTCTTCTGTGTCCAGTTGAAAGGCAACTACAGATAACATGACAAACCAACATAAATATGACGAGGTAGTGCCCTCTTTATACGAGAATATTTATATTATGCAACAGTTTGCTGCAACCATGACCTCTAACAGCAGAAATATTCTGTCATGTAAAAAATTCATAATGCTCTGAATGAACTGCAGCTGTTCGTTCAATTCAGATAATGTACCAGCAATCAGAGTTTGATGTCTACTGTGCCACATTAACGTTTCTGCTGGAGGTTTAATTTACCAACTAATTACTACAACTGTTACTAAATTTTAAAGCAAGAACATGATAAGTGTACTTGTCTTTACATTATGAAGCTATTCCAGAAAATATTTGGCCTTTTACATTACAGAATTGTGATTTGTCACATGCAATGCAGTTCCACAAATATAACGAAATACTGTCAATCCACTTCTGACACCTAAGATCAGCAACTACTGAAGTTTCTCAATCCACTTCTGACACCTAAGATCAGCAACTACTGAAGTTTCTAAGACACTGTGATCTTAATTAATATGTACTGTATTTAAAACTATTATTAATATATCACACATGCCAATACAGCCGCGCTAGTCACCAAAACAAGCAGTGAATATTACTCTCTCCCAGTATGTGACGTCGTGTAGTTTGGTAGATATGTACCAAAGTTTCGAGGGAATCCACGGTCTCCATCTTCAAGTGCGGCACAACCCAGAAATAGTCAATTCACAAGAACCTCAAATCCCACGTCTGAGAAAACGTCATAGCACTCTTAAGTACTGCGAATATATCAATGGCCATTAAACCGTCTTCACTTATACTCTTAATGATAGAGGGTAGACATTTTAGGTTATAGTACACAGCACTAAACGTCCTAGTTATTTGCACGCATCTGGTGTACGCGCATAAAACGTCTAACAACAAAGTTATTACAATATAGTTATTAATACTAATACGAAATACAACAAACCTTGAAATAATGCAATAATTTACAATTACAACCTAACCACGTTTCTCGTTCCCACAATGTCCTTAACATCCACAACACGGCAACTTCGCCAACCCAACTGTCAAAAATGTATCTTTACTATCTCAAGCGATGCCTACAAAGACGATACTTTCCCTGACTGCAATATGTAGTGTTGTTATTCACGTATATGACGTTCTACTGTAAATAAATAATAAAAATATATTCCTATATCACACTGTTATATTCACAGTTTAGGCTCTACTTTATTTGTATCTCCAACATCTGCAGGGAAATTACAATCGTTATCTATAGCGATACGGGCATTCGTCCGTAACCACCACTTCCTAAGCAAAAATCATGTGTAAATACATAAATGGAATCTATTATGGTGTAGTTTTCTTGTAGTGAACGTTAATTCATGGAGAAAAAAAAACGCTATAAATGCACCTTATAAAAAGTAAGAAAGCAAAAGTAAACAATTTAGAAATTAATATGGATATCATCTCTCCTACGAGTAATATTCGCTTGCGATGCTTGAAGTAATGCCGCTCATCACCCCTCTGCATACTTACCTGGCGTAGGGGTTACCGTGATCCTGAAGGCGGTTCCCCCAGGGTGAGACCTTTCCATTGCACTACGGTTTGGTTGACCCCTGCGATTGCCCCAAATGTGGGTAACTCGGGCGCGTAATTTTTGGTAGTCGGGACTGCGTTCGCGCTGTCCCGGTATTATTGTTCCAATAATTTTTAAGTTGTTCTTTTCGTGCGTAGCACGTGAATGATTACTAATTTTAATGTGTGTAATATCCGTTTAACAATTGATTCTTCTGATGATTGTGTGCTCACCGTAAAAAAAAAAAAAAAAAAAAAAAAAAAAAAAAAACGAACTGTTGATAGATATCACCAATATATTTCAAGAGAGACTAAATCATTTTAGATTCGTTAAATTGAATATGTGGGGCAGTCCAGATATCTGGGAACGACGATTAATACTGATTCAGGAGGAAATTATGAGATTGAACTTTGGTAATGTTTACTACCATTCTGTCGAGAACCTTTTGTCTTTTCCTCTGGGGTCCAAAAACATAAAAATTAAAATATACGAAAACTATAATTTTGCCTGTGGTTCTGTATGAGGATGTAGAACGAATGGGGGAAATGAGGAATGCATATAGGATATTGGTGGGAAAGCCAGAAGGAAAGAGACCACTGGGAAGACCAAGGTGTAGGTGGGTGGACAATATTAAAATGGATCTTAGAGAGATAGGTTGGGAAGATATGAATTGGATTGATTTGGCTCAGGATAGGGACCAGTGAAGGGCTCTTTTGAACAGGGTAATGAACCTTCGGGTTTCATGAAATGTTGGGAAATTCCTCAGTAGCTGTAGACTTGGGTTCTCCTCAAGAAGGGCTCAGCTCCGTAAGTAATGGACACCCTAAGAAATCTTCAAACAACTTCTCAGTCTTCTTGTTGGGTTCTGAGTTTGATGTCAACATATACCTATCTTCTTATTATGTCATAACGTAATGTGTGTGGAAATGAGGCACTGCCTGCTTCCACACACCTGTGACAACTTTCCATTGCACTGTGGTTTGGTTGACCCCTGCAATTGCCCCAATTGTGGATTACTCAGGTCCGTAATATTTGGTAGCTGGGACTGGGTTCGCACTGTCCTGGTAAAACTGTTTCAAGTGTTTAGTTTGTTTTCTAGATTATCACTAAAGACTAGTACCCTATCTTCCAGATGTTCCAGCCATATTACAAAAATGGAACATACAGTAAGACAGACTTCAATTGCAAAGAAACAAAAAATACGCTATATATGGAATAAATGGTGATATTTATAATACAAAACTATACAACAATTCTCATCTACAGAAAGTTACATATACACACTGCATCATTTCATTACTCAAGACTTCCTTGTAATTTTTGCATTTTTTTTAAACTTATCATGATGAGTTTTGCACCGCAAATGATCGAGTCTTTCTTCAAAAATATTTGTTATATCTCTTAACAGTTCCTTCTTATATGGACACCGTAAGAAATCTTCAAACAACTTTTCAGTATTCTTGTTGGGTTCTGAGTTTGATGTCAGCATATATCTTACAGTGTCATAACGTAATGTATGGAAATGAGACACACTGCCTGCTTCCACACACCTGACATAAATATCAACTGCTGTGCTATGAGACAGGAATTCACGCACTATCATTTCAATCACTTGTTCACTGCCTGTTACCAAGAACCTGTCCAACACAGCGATGAGATCCAGTGACTTACTAAGATCAATACCAGGCATATGTGAAAGAATATATCTGGACTTCATGCTAAGAAGATTAATAAGAGAGTAATGTGAAATTCCTGGAAGTGGAACACAATCCTCGTGAGATTCTTTGAAATTGCCTCTGAACATAGCTTCAAAAACTGGTGATAGCAAACTGAGGTGCTTCTTGCTAACTTGAACAGAACTTCCATCATCTAGCTGCAAGAGTACTGCATCCTCAGAAGCCTGTAATATAAGAGGTAAGACTTTAATTTACTTTGCAACAAACGACAAGTCCTGAGATAAACTAACAAGTCCACCTTCCTTTACACACTCTCTTCTATATACAGAAGCTAGCAGTCATAAATTAGTTACATGAAATATAATGATTTATTTCTGTGCTGAATTTCTACTAAGAAGAGATATATATTACACCAAAGTAGTCAGACATAACCTCAAAGTTAATTCAAATAAAATTTGTTGCAACATTTATGTTGGCATTTTATGCCCACATACATCTGATGCAATTCATTACATATCACTGAAACAGTGGAGTAAATACAGGTTTTATGTGGCCACCATATTCTTATTTTTACATTCTATAAAAACATGTCCTTCACATGTGCCAGAGTGTTGCATTTATCAACGAACCCCCACCAAAGTTAAAATTCGGCCATCAGTCCAAGGGTAAAAGATGGTTCTGATTCCTTCAACCAGTAAGACATAGCTTGAATGTTAACCTATGGCAGGAATTCAAACCCAGAGAATGTCCGAGTTTATATGCACTCATAAATATTGTCATAATTTATAAGCTACTTGTTCAGTTACTATCAAATGAGATAAATGAACAAGAATAGAAACTCAGCTGACAAAAACATGAAGCCAGTTGGACAACTTGAATTGGCTGGTCACTGGACTTTCCTAAAAAATTAAAAAAAAAAAACAGTTTCCAAATTTTCCAAATAGACAGAAGCACCAACCAATAACATGAACCAAACATGCTATGCGTGTGTGAGAATGACTTCAGTTCAAGAGAAGACTGAAATGAGACTTTAGAAACATTCTGAGAAAAGACACAGAAAAAGAAGATTTGTTTAACGCTGATTTTTGCTAGAGTTGCCAACCATGGTGATTCTGATGGATCAAGCAGTCTGTGTGCTACTGCACGAGGTAAACAGTTATCTAAAATTCTCACACTTTGAAATTAAAAAATAATAGCTATGCTCAAATCAAGATATCCTTTACTCAATTCAAGACTTGCACATACCTCAAATTTACACACCAAATACAGTGGAACCTCGCTTAACGAGCATAATTCATTCCAGAACCTTACACATAATGCGAAACAATTTTTCCCATATAAATTAATGTAAAATACGATAACGCGTTCCGTGCTGAAAAAAATACTCAAAAAATTGTATGTATAACGTTTATTCAAAGAAAATTATATATACATTGTTAAGGAGCATGAATCATCTTCATCTTTTCTTCCATGCGGAATGAACTAACCTGGAATGCGAATTCGATTTGCAGGGAAAAAAAAAGAAGAAATAATTAGTTTATTATTTATGATACATACCTAATTCTTTTTTACTAGAAAGCTGTCTAGAGACATTTGTTTTTGCTGACGCTTAAAAATTTGGTGAAAATGCGACACAGCATTATCATTAAATAAATCTGTAGCACACATAGCCACTGCCTTATTAGGGTGATGCTTCTCAATGTATGATGCAACAGTTTCCCATGCTTTCAGCATTTCTCTTATTGTGCCAGAAGATTGTTGCTCTGCTGTTACCTCCTCCTCCTCCTCCTCCTCTGACAAACTCTTGAAGTCGCCGATGAAGTTCTCTCTGCTGCCTTTGTGTTGGAGCTTGCTGCTTCACCATGCCTTACAACGCTGTGGATGCCGGCTCTTCTCTTAAACTTCTCGAACCACCCACAGCTTCCCTTAAATGCTTCTTCTTCGGCCGTTGATGATCCTGGCGTCTTCTTAACGAGGTTGGCGAAAATCATTTTCACCTTCTCACAAATGATGTTCTCGTTAATAGTGTCGCCTTGCAATTGCTTTTCGTTTAGCCATATGAGGAGCAACCTTTCAACATTGTCGAGAATATGTAACCGTTGCATAGATATTCTTGTCACTCCCTTTGAAGCATCTATCTCCTTAATCTCGTCCTTGTTCTTGAGGATAGTGCAAACGGTTGATGTAGACCGATTGTATGTGCATGCTAGATCAGCCACGCTCACACCTCATTCTCGCTTTTCAATGATTTTACGTTTCATTTCTATGGTTATTTTTATTCTCTTATGGCTGCCTTTTTGCGGCTTTTCCTTTGGGGATATTTTTGCAAGGGTTATTAAACTTTGCACAAAAAAAATCACAAATAATATGTCTGAACACAAGTTTGGAAAAAATGTGTGATCACAAGCGACACTAAGATGCTAGCGGAACAAGTGCTAAACACAGACTGATGTAGCAAGCACACAATCCGGGACTTCACCTCTCGTCACTCATTAAGCAAGTCATTTTTTTACAAATTGTTTTGCTCGTTATGTGAATTACTTGTTATGAGAGGTGCTCGTTAAGCGAGGTTCCACTGTACTGACAAGAGCAGTGACCAGACATATAACGACAACAAATGCTAGGATATGAAATCAGTGTTACAGTGGTGCCAGAACACAAAATATACATTCCTCATTCATTAAGCTGTAAATTGGTAATCATTTTACCTTCATATCAGAACATATTGTGGTACTTCCAGAAGCTGTTTCCTCCAACTGATTTTGATATTTATCTTTGCGCTTATGAGTTCTTCGGGTGTGGTGACGGGGTTTAGGGACATTCAAAGCAACAGCAAGCAGTATCAGACTTGTTGACACATGCTTCCTCAGGCCATCATTTTCAGTACTGCTGCTGTCCAGTACTTCAAGCAGTCTTTTCAGTGCATCACATTGGACCATAAGCTTCCACAGTATTGCGTGCATCCTGAAATGCATTTCAGTAAATAAAAATATATGCCATAAACTCCCAGATATCTGATATCCAGGCATCCAGAACTCTCATGCAACCAGCAAAATTTCAAAGAAAATCTACTTTTTTTTAAGTTACTTCAAAACACACTTGAATTGCACTTACATTCACTGCCATACAGTGTGAGGATCATACCACCTCTACCTTTGAGGTTAAGCATACATGTCAAGTAGGAAACCAGTACGCATATTGCTGGTTTCTTACCTGGCATACTCTTCAGCCCTGATGATGGAGGTGATATGTTCCCCCAAAACACAAGCAGACTTCTACCAAATTCTACAGCATAAAACACAGATGATCATCCCCTTCTAAAAAAAGATACACATTCACTTCAGCCACCAGGTAAGTGGCCCTTAAACTGAATTCAAGTGAACTAATTGCATATGTAGGATTACAGGTTCTGATGTGTCATTTACGCAGTTTCGTTTAAATCTGCTAACAGGTTAAAAAATCTGAACCAATGAATCTATCAGTGATACTGCGGAGAGAGCTCCTAGCTTCCAGAATGTTGGAAAGTAAGATACAGTATGATTACAATATTACAAATGCTTAGAACACTAAAAAGATAATGCATGCAGATACAGTAATATCCCCATTTCAGGTCTTTGGGGACAAGTGCATTTGAACACTAAACGGAGGAAAATCTCAAATGAAGGAGATTTTAATATACACATTACTGCATTGGAATCACTGAAATTAATCATCAACTGCAGTAAAATTTAAACCATGAAGCATTACATGGGGGTTCCACTGTATACACAAAACATCCAAATGTAACATTTTACAAAATTCCATTTATTTATACGATAGATGCCTCCAGGGCAAGTGTACGCAATTAAAGTCTCCCCGGGTGATCAGTTGTGATAAGATGGAGTTTGTGTCTGATGTTTCAGAGATGACCTCTCTTCCCATTATTAGGGGTTGATGTGATGAGTGTTCTGTTTGCATCTTGTATTTATACACAGGGCAAGCTCTCAGCTCTGCCACCGTTTGTTGCACAGTACCTGCTGTAACATCAAGCACAAACTTCATACTGACACAGCTGATTACCTGAAAAGATTTCAATGCTATTATAGTTAGTATCCATTAAAGGTAAAGTTGTCCCTGTGCTTAATTATGCACTATGCCATGAAGGTGTATGGGGGGGGATGTAAAATATAAAAATGTCATAGCATTGCAACCAACCTTACAATATATGGAATGTCATAGCATTGCAACCAACCTTACAATATATGGAATGCATACTGCCACTAGCCTCTGAACAGATTTTTCTCCTTTAAGAAGATGATGTGCCAATTCTCCTTCACCAAATCCAGAGTGAGCAAACCTCGAAATCTGGGAGATCAGTGACAGTCCAAATAACTTGAATGAGATGCAAGTACAGCAAGAAGAGTGCTGTGGCTGGCAGAGACGAGAGTGGATGGTCAGGACAAACCGATGGAGCAGAAATGACTTGAAGTAATGGTGGTTCCTGGTTGAGAAAAACGTGAAAGCTATTACATACAAGAAGCAAGAGATCAGGCTGCTTTACGGCAAATTTGCATTGTATAAGGCAGAGGTGGTGTGTTTCTTTGAAATGTCGGTACAAACCTATCAGGCTATGTGGTGTCATAACCCTGAAGCAGAATTTCACCAAACCTTTCTGTTGTCAGAAGACTGTAGTGCACTTGAGTTCAACTGTACAGCTCTGTACTCACACAATGACAGTCTGAGGTCACAATTTTGTTGGATGTGATAAAGTGTAGCCTGGAAGGTACATATCAACATTTTGAAGAAACCTGTTGTCTCTGTCTTCAAAGTTGGTGAAGAGTGATCCAAGTGGAGAAAAGTGGACAGTGATAAAGGGGAAGGGAAGACTTGAACTGGGTGCGAATCAATGGTAATAAGTAGCCCTTAAAAGAGCTGTTTTGTCAATGGTGAAAAAAGAAGCATAAGGAAAACATTTTAAGTATCAGTGATCGCCACTAGTCTGGCGACAGCCCTGGTCTCAACCCGCCCTCTCCTTATATCACCTACCATTTCTTCCCACTTGGCTCACTCTTCTACCCTGAAAACAGAGACAGCAGCCTTCTTCAGAAAGTTGGTACCTATCCATACAAGCATATGGCATCACATTCCAGATGGCTGTGGTGTGAATACTCACCAACAGGACCTAAAAGACAAGATGATTTCGTTTGAGTCATGAAAAGTCTACTTTACACACAAGCCATAAATATACATTACCTGATGATAGAATACAATGTACTTGATGCTCTCTGTTGCGGATTCCTGATTAATGTAATGTAGTCTATCAAGGCCGAAAGTGTCGGCTGAGTTGCCAGTTCCTCTACAGGGTCCTCCATGTGTGAAACTCTGGACAGTAAGATCAACGCTGCATCTATTTCCTTGTCACAGACACGTACACCATCTTCAATAGGTTCCTGCCGTTTGTACTCGGGGCTCCGTGCAACCTGTCGTTTTAACAACAATCAGTGACTAATTATGTAATATTAACAGACCTCTACAACTGCTAGGTACCACAAACACTCAACACTGATAATGACAAAACATGCCCATGGACACAATTATCAGCTACTTCCATCCATTTCAAAACGCAATTTTCATCTGAACAATTTTAGTATTATCTTCCCATCATCTCAATTATGTAAGTGGCCACTTGCTAAAAGAGTAAAATAAAGTTAAATGTAAATTATGCCTGTGCTTAATTAAGTATCGTGTCATGAAGATGTACAGGGATTTGGAGGGGAGACAGCTCCACACAGACACTCTTAACCTCAACCCTAGATGGAGGTGAGTGGTCAGCTTCATGCCTGGCCTGCTATATCGCTGACACCCATTGGGTCAGCAAGTTGAGTGGGCCCCAGAGCCAATGAAAATGCAGTGAAGAGAAAAATCCCTCGACCCTGCTGAGAATCAAACACTGATCATACAACCACCCAGCCCACTGCCTTTCTCTGTACCAAATGAGCTACGACAGTTCCAACTCTAGGTCAGTCTGTAATTCACTGTGATTAAAATGTTATGTGCAGGTCACAGTTATCACAGAATGTGAATCAGTTCATGAAGATTTGCAAGAGTTCCTCAAAAACTAGCCCCCCCAGAACTACAATCCACAGGCTGAACGTAACCCATAAAAAGAATATAGTACAGCCCACAATGTTATTCGAATATTATTAAAAACATCAATGCCCATTAATTTTTGCTCCGTCATACAATGTGTACAGAACATATTTCTGTCACAAGAAAATCATAATTTATACAAAGATGCCAGCTCCATTGTCCTAGTATATATATTTACCACCGCAGTTTACCTACAGCTGGACATAAGTCAAGTGGGACAGGCCCCAAATTCAAGCAGAACTCTGCACCACAGTCAAGATGGATAAGGACTGAGGTACAGCTCCATAAATTCTTAACCTTGGCATTAAATGGAGCCATGTGGTTAGTTTCACACCCTGACTCTTGCCCTGCTTTTAACGGGACCATGTTTCCTATCATCCAGCCACCAACCCAGTCAGTATACACGCAAATATCCCTGAGAACAGCAACAAAATAACACTCTGGTACTCAGAAATAAAGCAGGTACCATAAACATCACTCAAGATTTCCACTGACAAATGTCATCTCTTTCCTTCAATTCTGCAGTCTATAGTTCTAACCTCATCACGACCTCCTCCCATTAGTTAACTGCTGCTCTCATGCTTAATTACAGAAAAGCGTGCGCTGGCCTTCCTTAGGTAATGAAACACACAGAACATGAGGCGACTTCAGTAATGTACAGCAAAGTGATGGAAACTCTTGGTTTTGGGTTATTTTACAGTACTGTTAGTACCTTGACTATACATGAATTGGAAAGGATTTGGAAGGAAATGGTCATGGCTTAATCACCATACTATCCTGGCATTTGTCTGGAGGGACCGAGAAAAACCAAGAAAACCCTTGGCCATGATAACTGGTGTCCCAGTTGAGATTCAAACTGAGCACCTCCCATATACAAGTGTGGAGTGTAGCCTCTAATCAGTAAAAGCGGTGTTCACTTTAAATTGCCTATTGCATCTACTGATTCATCTTGCTCTGCCTTTAACATCCATAGTGAGAAAATGCAGGGTTACCTGCTTAACAAACAAGCACTTGCACATAATTACAACATACTTGCTGCTTAACTTGCAGATTAGGACACAAAAGTTAAAAAACATCATGGATACTAACATGCTCACTATCTTTATCCTTGCTTGTGTCCTGAGGCAGGACATAAGGTGCTTCTTCATCTTTATCGTCATCATCATCAACACAATCGTCATCATCATCACCACCACCATCATCATCATCATCATCATCATCATCATCATCATCACGATCATCACCACCAGCATCACAGCAGATTGGAGAATACACTTCTGGGAAATCCACACCATCATAAACCTCTGAGGACAAAGGAGAAGGAGTGGATGGAGGGGACAGTCCATCAGAGACTGAGGCATGGGAAGGAGAGGCAGTCCATATCCTGCAATGTGGAGGAGAAGTGCCAGGAGAGATGCACATACTGCTTGGGCTTCCTGGGCTCCAATCACCAGCTGCACTGTAATCTGGACTCGGATCTCTGCGGTGCCCATCTGACCTACACCTGTAAAATTCAACATGACCGGTGAGCTGCTGAGCAAATGGGAGTGACTCCTATTGGCCTAGAGATTATGACAAAACACAATCAGGACATACATACAAGTGGGTTACTTCACAGCACCATACAGTGCCAAATGGTACGATAACAGCTGAGTTGGGAAGGATTTGGAAAATAGCACCTGTGGCCTAATTGACATACTATCTTGACAACTGAGGGCCGCGCCATAGCTCAAGCAGTTAGTCTCTGGCTTCCCACCGTGGCGACCCGGATTCGATCCTGGGTCTAGTCAAGTGTGGTTTCTGGTGGACAAAGTGTCGCTGGGGCAGGTTTCCTCCAAGCACTTCGGTTTCCCCTGCCAATCTTCATTCCACCAATTGCTCCACAATCACCCTCACCTATCATCTGAGGCTGGTACAATAGGCCAGAAGTGGCCGCAGTACAAGGGACTTAGTCCTACCCTACTAGCAATAAAAAAAATCTTGACGACTGACTTGCAGTCACAGGAAAACCACAGAATCCTCATTTAGTACAGTCACTGTCCTGGCCAAAATTTGAAGTGAGCACTATCTTCATACAATTCTGGAGTATTACTATTGCCAACCCAATCACTAAATAAGTACTGATCACTGCACCATAACGTTCATAAATTATATTTATCCTGCTTCAAATTATCATATATTGCTGTTTAAGAACAAGGTAATAAAATAAACTTTGCAAATTTACCATTTACTTTCAATTAAAGCCTACAACTTATTTCTCACGTTAAAAATATGTGGCCTTGAGTTCTGAGGCTGTTAGGACAGCAAAGACTCATATTCTTCTGAGTGATGACACCATGCAATCTGGTACATCGGTACCAGGATATAAGAACAACATACTGGCTCCAGCTTCAGGGTAATAGCCTGAGGAACACACCACCTCTGAAACATCGGTACTCACCAACTATACAGAATCATTCTCATGTGGTTCTTTTATGATGCTTTCAGTATGTAGACTATACAGCATTGGATGCTGGAGTGAATGATGAATAACAAACTGCAAAGGATTTAGAAGGGGACACTCACGGTGTTACTGAGGAACTATCCTGACATTTACCTGGAGGGACTATAGAAAACCATGAGAAATCTCAGCCAGGATAGTTAGTCCCCCCACCAAGATTCAAACCAAGCATATCCTGAATAGAAATCTAGAACATTATCACTAATTGCACCTACTTGGTGACTACACAGTGTCATAACCCAGAAGACTACAATATTGATCCTTGCACAACGGCAAGTCCCACATGTGCGGAAGGTTTCTCCTGCGTAAAGCAGTACCAAGATTCACAATGTATGTCACCTGTTACTGCAACCTTGTTCCTGAATCACTGCTTGGTAGCTGGGGCTGTCTGCTCGGAACTTTTTCCGCTTTGATGCGCCTGGCTCTAGGTCTGTATTTGCACTTGCGTCACTTGTTTCAGCTAAGGTACAGCCATTTCTACAACACCAGGAACACATGCATGCTGATAAAACAAACAATGTTAATTCCATAAGCACTGAAATGCAGGAAAGAGAAAATGAGATAGTTTGTAATTTATGGCTGTAGCAACACAATTACAGTAACACTGCACACATCTCTCTTTCAGAGGAAATCCATCCAACATTTGAAACTGCTATCATACACAGAGTTGTCTTTGTAATTCTGACACAAATTCTATCCAAATTCCTCTTTTGATTTTTGATTATAAAATTCAGTTCATCTACAAATCTGTTGCTAAACAACAGTTTCCAGGCTGACATTTGAACCCATGACTTCATGGATATAAGGATGAGTACTACAACATTGACTGTTGTATGTCTTGACTACTTAAGTTCCCACCAAACTGCAGCTATTATTTGGACTTCTGTGGATTCTGCCATCATGGCAAGAGTGAAGTATGTTTGAATAGATACCCCATTTGATGGATTAAATTTCTTTTGGTCCTTAGGTAACTTGCATTCTTTCTAAGGCTTTTTTGGTTTCCACACCCTTACTTTCTTCACTAATATCTAGTACCATCCACTGTTCACAGTCTAATCCTGTTTATTGCACTGAACATACCACAGGGCTTAGGCTGCACCATAGCTCAAGCGGTGAGTCGCTGGCTTCCCACCGCGGCAGCCCAGGTTCAAACACAGGTCTGGTCAAGTGGGTTTCGTGGTGGACAAAGTGGCGCTGGGGCAGGTTCTCTCCGAGTACTTCGGTTTCCCTTGCCAATCTTCATTCCATCAAATTCTCCATCATCATAATCACCCAGGGCAGGTACAATAGGCCAATCAGTGGCTGACGTGCCAAGTGGACCCAACTGGACTCCACCCCCACTATGCAAATTAGAAAATGAAAATTACCTCAGGGCTTGTGAAAGCATAATATTGCTATCAAAAGCAAAGTGTCCATTATCATTACAGATGCTACATTTCCTTCTGCCTTCCAGTGGTATCATGTGTTCACCGTTTCCACTGTGCACACTCCCATTTTCCTTCACAAAATCTGCTACTTTATTAACTAAAATGTTAACTAGGCCCTCTCTGAGAAGTTCCTGAAACAAATAAACATGACATATAATACTGTGACATATTTGCGCTATGCAGGACACCCCCTCCCCCACTAGCGGTGACGTAACAGCATCGGAGCACTGTCACTGCTATGGTAACAGGCCAGTCAACACTCCACCCCCTCCCCTGCTGTGACATCACAGCACTTCCCACTGTGACCTAACAGGGGATACCACTGTTGACACAGGGAACAGGGAATGGTATAAAAAGCCAGCTGAGCAGTATGTGAAGAGTGTGTGATCAGGAGTGACAGCGTGGATCATGAAGTCAGTGAGTACAGTTTAAATATAGCAGCAGTCGCAGAAAGAAGACCCGAACGTGTGGTTAGAATATTTTACGTGATAGTGGGAAATAACTCAGAAGTCAGCCAGTGAAGACTTATTGTGTGCCTTCAAGATTTTATGTGTGCTGTAGTACAGTTATATTGGGAGTGTGTAATTCAGAGAGACTTGTATAGCTCCCGCATTGTAAGTACATGAAGACTACTGAAGAGATTGTTGTGTGGGATTTGTAAATTGTCTAAACCTGCAAAAGTGATAAGTATTTGTAGTTACGACTTGTAGGCTGTTAAATAAACCAATTAACAATCTGAACGGCGTCTTCAGTAGCAAAACACGTTACAATATGTTAGCAGCTGCCAACACAATGCATCTCAGCATCAAATGAGCAACCAAAGCATGTAAGACAAAAATACAATAATCCTCCTTTACCTGAAGACACTGAGGTCTTCCAGATGGTGTAAAAATTTCACTTCCTGACTGAAACTATCACCTAATGTTCCTCAATTTACAGCTTTCTCCCACATTTAATGTTCAATTTCAATAATCCCAAGTCAGTAAGTTTAATGCTGAATATCCACCGTTTATGATTTTCCTCACTTTGGTGACCAAATCCACTGCTCCCCAAACAACCTTAAATGGGAATTTCTCTGTATACTTTTACGTCAAAGTAATTAACTCGACAGAATACTACGGGGAAGACTACCACACCTGAAGTCCTACAGACTGGAGGGACGTGCACTTATTTATATATGTGCCAATTAACAGTCTGGTCAATGGCTTATCAAAGCCATCGACAATTACAGGCTGGAATCAGGGGCCAGGCTGAAGGCTACTGATGCCAGGAACCTGCGAAGCCTGTTAAAGTGGTTCTATGGATAAGGGACAAAGTTGCCCAGAATCAGGAAAAGCCACTGAAATGGATTGCAGACCTCAACCCAGGACTTCATACTGAGAACCGGAGAGTACTCGATAAGCAATCTGAGTCGAAAGGCCAAAGGCTCATTTTATTCATAGACTGGGACTCTTATGCTATTATACAGAGGACCGGTTACAAGATTATTTATAGGGCTCTCACAGGGGACTGTTAAGGTGCTGAAAGATCCTGAAGCTTAGCATCTTCAAAATTGGCTTCTGAGGGGGAGGGGAATGATGTACCCACTCCCTCAGATGACCAAAGTAGAGCAGATCAGGGGACCCCTTCAAATGGAACCCAGTCTGAGAATAAGAAGGAAAATTAAACAAGGTACACACACACATACACACACATAACATGAAATTCCTTCAAATTAACCTACACCACAGCGAAACAGCCACAGCAACGTTATGCCAGCAGCTAGCTGAGGGAAAGGAAGATGTAGCACTTATTCATGAACAATGGTAATACACGGGTCAAATAAGAGGTGTAACCAACACAGGGGGAACAGTTTACTCTGCTGCACCTGGTAATAATGCAAGATCCTGTGTTTATATCAGGAATCTTATTAATGCCTTGCCTTTGCTGGAGCTCTGTTCCAGGGATGCAACAGCGGTGAGGATAACATACACGTATCGAGGAGGCTGCATGGAGCTGACTGTTGCTTCAGTATACCTTCCACATGACTCAGATGAACCACCACCAACTAAGGAAATGAGGGACATTAGAGACTACTGTTGTAGCAGGAAAAAGCAACTCATCATTGGGTGTGATGCCAATGCGCACATCTTCTGGGGGAGCACCGGCACCAATCCAAGAGGAGAAAACCTTGTGGACTTTCTGGTGAGTTCGAACCTGAATATTCTAAATCATGGTAACGAACCTACCTTTGTGGTCCGCAATCGAGGTTATTGAGTTGACACTAGGGACAGATAAAATAGAAAACCTGGTAAGTAATTGGCATATATCTGGCAAGCCGTCTTTATCAGACCACACACACATACGCTTTCAAATAGGTAACATTACAACAAAACAAGTTACCTTTGGGAATCCCAGGAGAACCAATTGGGAGTAATACAAGGACAACCTAGAGGTGAATCTGGAGATTATTTCACGAAGTATACACACGATAAGGGACACAGATCGATCTTCTGACCAGTTGCAACAGGCCATCATCTTGTCCTATTATCATAATTGTCCGGCCAAGACCACTCGCTTACCAAGAAATGCACCTTGGTGGAATAACAAGCTGAGTGGGCTAAGGGCTAACACAAGAAAACTATTTAATATAGCAAAAAGGACAGGGCTGTGGGACACCAACAAGGAAACCCTCACCTGTTATAATAAAGTAATAAGGAAAGCCAAACGATCCTCAGGGAGGAGGTACTGCCAGGAGATCAATGATGTACCAGGCAGTGCCAGACTCATGGCAAAACAGGCGACCAATAAGGTCAGCTCTATCAAGCTACCTGATGGTAAGTATACCCAAACTGGGAAAGGGACACTGAAAGAACTTCCCTGATTTAAAGCTGATTGATGATTCAGGTGATGGGCGGGTCCAGCAGAACCTGGGTGTATGTGGACACATAACAAACGGGAGACTGGAACCTGGCCAGTCGGGTAATCAATCAATCAAAAATTAGATGGGCATTAGGTACCTTCAAACCATTTAAGTCTGCAGAAACAGATGGAATTGTACCACCACTCCTGCAGCAAGGGATGGAACATTTAGTCCCACACCTATGCCCCATATTCAGAGCCTGCATGGCATATGGGTTTATCCCTACGGCCTGGAGGCAAGTCAAAGTAACATTTATACCATAGCCCAGGAAACTTGATTATACCGAGGCTAAGGCTTAACGTCCTATCAGCCTGTCATCTTTCCTTTTGAAAACGATGGAGAAAGTAGTAGATAGACACATTAGGGATGGTGCATTGAAGATTCATTCTCTGCACCGAAACCAACATGCTTACCAAATAGGTAAATCTATTGAAACCACACTGCATAATGTGGTTACACACATAGAAAATGCCATCGAACACAAGGATATTGCCCTTGGAGCATTCCTTGACGTAGAGGGAGCCTTTGACAAAACCTCCTTTGATACAATAAAACAGGCTGCTGAAAGGCATGGCATTGAGCCCACAATATGCAGATGGATCTGTGCTATGCTGGAAAGCAGGAATATAAGTGCTACATTGTGTGGAGAGATCCTGAGAGCCTTTGTGGTGAGAGGGTGTCTGCGGGGAGGGGTTCTGTCCCCTCTGCTGTGAAGCCTGGTCGTGGATGATCTTCCATGAGAGCTCAACATTTCACAGGTCATTTCACAGTAGGATATGCTGATGATATAGCAATCCTAATCAATGGGAAATTCCCTTACACTGTATCAGAGGTCTTACAAACAGCCCTTCACATGATTCAACAGTGGTGCAAAAGAATAAACTTGTCTATCAATCGAAACAAGATGGTAATTATACCCTTTACTGAGGAGGGATGTCAAGGGGCTTAAGGAACCAATGCTCTTCAGTCAAGTAATCCAGCTATCAAGTAAAGTCAAGTACCTTGGAATAACATCAGACAAGGGACTGACATGGAAAAACAAATGGACAAGGTTATTAACAAGGCCTATAAGGCCTTCTGGACATGCAGAGGCACCTGGGGACTAAAACCAAAAGTGGTGTGTTGGTTATACACTGCTATAGCTAGATTCATAATTACCTGTGCTGCCACTATATAGTGGCCTAGAGTTAAACTTAAAACCAGTTAGGCAGAACTAAGCAAATTGCAAAGGATGGCCTGCTTGGGAATTACAGGAGCAATGAGAACAGCTCCAACAGCTGCAATGTATATCCTACTAGGACTCCCCCCACTGCATCTGCAGATGGAAGCAGAGGCCAAGTTAGGAAATTACAGATTATGCTGCAATGATCAATGGAGACCTAAATCTGAAGGTTTTGGACATGCATACATGACTCGGTACATGAAAAAAGAACCCATCCTAGAGATGGGGTCTGATAAAATGAGACCAAAACATGTCTATGATAAACCCTTCACAATCAGATTTCCTGACAGAAGTGAATGGATAGAGGGGTTTCAACCCGATAGAAAGGGTGGACTAATCTGGTATACAGATGGTCCCAAGACAAATAAATGCACTGAAGCTGGGGTGTATTGTGATGGAAAAGGGCAGAAACGTAGTTTCGGCCTTGGTCAGTATACAACAGTATTCCAGGCAGAAGTGTATGTCATTAAGGCAAGCGCAGTTGAGAATTTAGATAGAAACTATAAAAACAGGAATATATATATATATATTTTCTATCAGATAGTCAGGCTGCAATTAAAGAACTTGGTACATACCAAATCACTTCAAAATTGGTTTGGGACTGCTACCAATCCCTCATACAACTGGCCAGACATAACAGAGTACAAATGATATAGGTGCCAAGCCATGAGGGTATTGCTGGGAATGAAACCACAGATCAACTGGCAAGAACAGGATCTGAACATCTAAATCAGCTTGTGGCATCTCAATTGGAGTTGCCAAGAACGCTATCATGGACTCAACAAATAGAAATCACAAAAAACACTGAGAATCCACAACTGGACTCAAACGAGCAAAAGAATTTATATCAGGACCCTCTGCCAAAAGAACGAGGGACCTGCCGAAATTAAACAGAGATCAATTAAAATGGGTGGTAGGATTACTTACTGGACACTGCCACCTAAAAGGGCACCTTTTAAAACTGGGACTGACAGATGACCCAACCTGTGAAAGGTGCCTACATGAAGACGAATAAGCCACACACATCTTACTATGACACTCCCATAAATAAAGTCCTAAATTTTATGGTTTAATAAAGGGTTAATCCAAAGGGGAAGCACAATAGATCATTGAAGGTCACAGTGCGAGGGCTGGATTTATGGTCCACCCCTCATACTCATACTCATAGACTCACAGTCATAGTAACTTCTGTGTAAACCTCAAATACATCAGTTTGCTACCAAACATTGCTACTACAGTAACATTAATCTGATGGCAAAGCTACAAAGAAGCAACACAAATGAGATCAGGGGCTCTCATGACAGAAAATACTCAATCACAGTCTTCTAGGGTATGAAGCTATGTGGTCTGGTAGATAGGTAACAATATTTTGGAGGAACCTGCTGGCTCCATCTTCAGGGTAGAAGACTCAGGACCAGGGGGTACAAAATACAAGGTCAACTTTCACCTTTCTCTTCCTTTCCTTTGACTTACTGTTTGGTTTCCCATTTCCTTCCTCTTATAGTTCTTTCTTTACTTATGTATTTTCCTACCTATTCTTAACCTACTATTAAATTCCTTTTGTCACCTTCCTTCCTCTTTGTTCTCCACTGACAAACAGCCCTTCCAAGCCAATCGAAACTGGTTCCATCATGGTCTGCCCTTCGCTATATCACCTACCATCTTCCCCATTCAGCTCACTCTTCTATCCTGAAGACGGATGTATGGATGTGGCAGGTTTCTCTGAAGCATTGCTACCTACATACTGAACTACACAATGTCATGTTCCAGAAGACAGCAACACGAGGGTCTAAACAAAATTATCCTTACCTTCAAACTTGCCTCGTCGTACAAGAACTGCACCAGAGCTTCAAAAATAAAGGACCGAAGGGATGTTGCTGAGGGGTTACGAGCAATTCTGAGCATCAACGGCAAACCACCGGCACGGCGTATCTTGGCACGATTCACAGATTCAGCACACAGATGACACAGTGCCAGGACCATCCCAGCATGCAATCCTGTCCAGAAGAAAGAATTTTCCAGTAAGGTGGAACAGACAAGCAATAATTCTGTTCCAGACTTGCAAACACAGCATCTATGAAGAGAATCATCTGGAGTAAGGGGTTCTCAGTTTGCCATCCTCACATTCACAGTAAGGAGCCTGCAAGAGGTCGGCAGCTTTTCACAGTCTGCAAGGTTTATGAACTACTAAGATTTTTTTAATACATCTGAAAACAAATGTCTAACAGATATCATAATACATTAAATTAACACTTATGCTCCTGCAGTGTTTGTCCAAACCACATATGACTAAGGTCAGAGAGTGACATGCCCCAACAAGTCAAAATTTTCCCTTTCAGAATGAGGTCTCAGCATGTCATTCTATCTTCTGTAACTACAATGGTGAATATAGCTACTTCTGAAATGCCTCTGACATACAGATTTTTGTTATTCATTTCTTTGCCATAATATTCTGTAAACTGCTAGGGTACTTCCTGGGCTAGCAGGTAAACCAACAGGGGCATTACCTGTAATGTCCTCTTGATGATTAAAGAGTTCCATAAGTATGATTTCCACAGTTCCAGCACTGCCTAGAGCAGGTCTGGAGCCAGATGAGTAGCACAGATTGCAAATGCATTCCAGCACCAAGCATTTCAGCCTGGGGTTTGCGATCAGACATACTAAATGTTTGAAACCTGAGCCATTTCCTTGAACCTGCAAAAATAGCATGCATATGAGATGAGTCACATGAAAATACCAACATAGCCACAGAGAAAAAGAACTGATACAAATAAATTATGCACCAAGTATCACTAACAAACTTCATACATTCCTGTAATGTATACTCCATTGCATTAACCCTCACAATATGGGAACATGGATGTTCAGACTCCAGGTATAATGGGGTTGGTCGCCACGTATGAAATCAGGGGTACAGGTATATCAACTGGGAATAGCAACTTTTAATATCCTATATACAAAAGTATAATTTTGCCTGTGGTTCTGTATGGGTGTGAAACTTGGTCCCTGACATTAAGTGAGGAACATAGACTGCGGGTGTTTGAGAACAGGGTGTTGAGGAGAATATTTGGACCGAAGAGAGATGAAGTGACAGGAGGTTGGAGAAAACTGCATAATGAGGAGCTTCATAACTTGTACTCTTCTCCAAGTGTAATTAGAATGATCAAGTCAAGGAGCATGAGGTGGGCAGGTCATGTAGCACGAATGGGGGAGACAAGGAATGCGCATAGGATATTGGTGGGAAAGCCAGAAGGAAAGAGACCACTAGGAAGACCAAGGCGTAGGTGGGTGGACAGTATTAAAATGGATCTTGGAGAGATAGGATGGGATGGTATGGATTGGACAGATCTGGTTAAGGATAGGGACCAGTGGAGGGCTCTTGTGAACGCGGTGATGAACCTTCGGGTTCCATAAAATGCTGGAAAATTCTTGAGTAGCTGCAGAATTTACGGCTCCTCCAGAAGGGCTCAGCTCCATGGGTAAGTAAGTAAGTAAGTCCAGCAGGCTGGAAATCATACTTAAACTCAGGTGTAACAATATTAGCATCTGAATATGCAACACTGTCACATAATGTGGCACACGTGCATGTGCGCAGCCTGTAAAGCATGAGGGACACGAAGCTGACCACTCTATTGTGGACGGTAAGAATGGTGGAGCTATTCCACGACTACCCATACATCCTCATGGTGCCATGATTAATTATTTAAACAAGGGGATAACTTTCCCTTTATGTTACCTTACATACAAACTTCTGTCAGGCAAAAGGAGTTGTAAATGGCCAGACAGAAGTTCAACAGGAACCATGAAAGCTCTCCCAATAAATAGATGCACAACAAGATCTCTCACCTGCTGAGCGCATTCTTCAGAACGGTAGTTAGTAAAGGTTACTAGGGCTTTAACTATCGCTAGTAACAAGTGCTGCTCTCCAGAAACCTCCTGATTCACAGGCAGCAGCAACGCAACAGTACGCACCGCCTGGCAGTTCAGCATTTGCTCCCTCTGATTTGCCACACTCCACAGCATTCTGTAAGCAAGCAATGAGCACAACTTCTGTCCAAACCGACTGGAACACAGATACTTGGAACTGCTAACTCTAATGAAAATGATCTGCTGAAATAAAATTTTGCTCACACTTCGGACAAATTCACCACATCAAAAATACTTCATAACATCTCAACATTTCTATACCACTTTTAATTTACATTCTCTAAATTAAACATTAACTAACTAACCAACCGACCAACCAACCAACCAACCAAACGATGGACTAACTAACTCCGCTGAGCAAAGTCCTTCTTGGAAACTAGTGAAGTCTGAGGACCCACATAACAATTCTGCTGTTTTCATGGTAAGGGACTGTTAGCTACCCACACATCTCCTAAGATGGGGAACTCCTCTGACATTTCAGAGGAACATACTGCCTCCATCTTGAGATTGAAGAGTAAACAACGCAAGCAAACAGCAAGAAGCAACTTGCTTCTTACAGGATTCTTGCATGGCATACTCTTCAAAGACAGGGCAGTACATTCCTCCAGAACAATGGTACTCTTCTGTCTGCTTACACAACATCACATCCTCTTCACAGTTATTGCTCCAGTAACCTCAAATCCAACTTAAGTATTCTTAATTAATTTCCTCCACTAACACTAAATACTCATCCCAAGTAACGCCAACAGAATAAATCCTGGCATTTGCAAGTTCAGATCAGTGCATGTGCACCACAAGGGAGGAGGTGGGGGTGTGCGTGCACGCATCCTGTCAATCTTCTCCCATCCTTCCATTTTTTTAAAAAATCAAAGAAATGGAGGGAAATACACCAAATATCAGAACACAAAATTAAAATTAATTATTAGAAAAATTCATTCTTTTATCTTGAATAATGTAAGACAGTCCCTAAAAATACTCCTATATGGCCTAAACCTAAATTTGCAAGCAAATTTTCTTGCTGAATCCCTGGAAAAATATTCTAGCAACACCCATGCCTCAGTGGCACTAACAAAGCATTTTTCTGAGGAAATACTGCTCTCAAAAACATTATCATACAATCTTCAAATAAAAGAGCTCTGCCTTCTTGGATATAAGACCATCTAGTCTTCTGAGAGTCAAGCAACGTTCTAGAGGAATACGTTGCTTCCATCATCAGGGTTGAAGCCCACACCAAGCAAGAGAGCATATTACACAATGAAGCAAATATAGCAACATCATCCTTCATATAGTACACAAGAAAGTGAAAGATAAAAGTGTGTTTTGTTCATTGCGGTGTTTCTAAGACAACAGAATTAAATGTCCAGGAGCTGCAGTATATACAATTAAAAGAGTGGCAGGTACATAACTTATCACAAAATAAACACATGCAGAATAACAGACATTATAATACACCAACCTGAGTGCTCTAACTGCCATCTGTTGTGTAGCTGTTGAACAACCAGACCCAGACACCAACAAAGAAACAATGGAATCTGCAATTCTTTCAATGTGGAGCTGTTCAGCGATGTAAGGTTCTTTGGCTAAGTTTCCAACCAAACGACAGGCTCGACACTGGATGCTGTCTCTTGCAATATTATAGATAACTGAGGACAGGGGGCCCACAATTCCATGACTGACAACCTATAGGATAAAACTTATATCAGTAACATGCATTTCTGCTATGATAACACATGTGAGATTTGAAGTTCTTGTGGTACCTGTCTGCCAGACTATAGTGTCACATCACTTCATCAGAAAACAGATGGTAATTGTTTGGATTCATTTATATACATGATATGATCACTGCTCTTACAGCAATTTACCAAACACTGCCATTAAGTATACAACTACAGTTGTGCTTCCCCCACCCCTGACCAAAAAAAAACAATTTAAAAAATTAAAGGAGGAGGAATACATGTAGAAAGGCCTTTGTAAACATGTAGATTGTCGTGATATAATAGAACTGGTTACCAAGGACTAACATTTAAATAAATAGCAATGATGACTGTAATTTATTACTGATTAATTAATTAACTGTATACATAGAACTATGATGGGCAGGAAACAAAATAACTGTTCTACTGCATACAGCATGTTACAGTAATCCTAGGGAAGGTTTTCTAAGATATGACACCCTGTAGTTGAGAGATGCATACAAACATTTCAGAGGAACCCCTTGCCTTCACATTCAGGTTAGAATATTTACTATTCAGTGCTAAAAACTGAGGTAGCAGGTTCCTACAAAATGTTCGTACTCGTTTCGCAAACCACCCGCCGTCACACGCAGAAGGACCGGAATTTCGTTACCCAAGTTAAAATCTCGTGTACTTACTTCATTTCTGCAGTCGCTGTCCAAACAACAATTGCCCAAAATACTCAAAGTCACATCAAGTATCTTCTCATTTGGTTTGTGCAAAAAATCCACAAGCAACTTCAGAACTTTGTTTTCTCTGAGTGTCTTAAGACCTTCTTTCGTTTTCGTTATATTCGATCGTAACTCTAGAAGGCCATTATATACAACACACGACGAAGATGATTTCAGTTTTGAGAAAATATATTCCTCTTTTGCTCCTCCAAATGCCATCACAGATTACTACTGAACACGAACTAATTTTCGTGATAAATTTAAATGTCGGTATCACTTGTCGACGAATCTGATTCAATATTTTTGTTATATTCTTATCATGATGGTCGAGACCATGGTTTCCAGTTCAATTATAAACCAAAGCAGTCCATTCATGTCGCTGAAACAAAAGAAAATTGTATATTTAGCTTAAATATCAAACATTGTAACAAGAAATTAACAAAAACTGCTCATTCATATGAAAGAGCCGATTAATTTACGTGAAAACTGGATCCACGTACTACATCACCACCTTCTTCTTCTTCTTCTTCTTCTCATACTTTCAGTACTGTCACATCACTTCGTAAAAATAAAATGCCTAATAATACCTGTAATCCTTGTTGTTTTATATAATGTTAGATGTCTGCCCATAATTCTACCTATATCGGACATTTCTTTCATAATCACTTCTTTTCCATTGTGTTTATGCTTCACCTTTATATGCTACTGTATATTACCTTAACAGAATTTCCTCCGAAATCAACGACTGTCACGACCGGTCACGGACACGACCAGGGGGGTGAAACTCCCAAAGGGGAAAGGGAAACTTGCAGAACCGCCATCTATGCTTATCAAAATGAACTAGGTAGTCTGGTAATGACTGGAATCGATCATTATACACTTATCGCATTCAATCGAATCGCATATGTGTGAGCCAATCGCAGGATCTTAAATTTCCGTTGAAGGTTTTCGGCGTTTTGGGCGTTGGCTCAGTAGAACTGCGTAGTTTCTGAAGATTTGGGTACGCCATTGAGGTATGTCGTGCAATTAATTAGATTAATTAGTAAGTATGGACTTTGATTTGATGTTATGAAACGAGAGTCGACATTTATGCATGAATTTACATCTGTGTGTTACTTATGTATATGGATTATGCTTACTACGCCCAGTGAAATTAGAAACAAACATGAAGTCAGTGTTACTACGATACTTCATCAAAATCGTATTTCTGTATTTTAAGCATCTTTCGGTGTAGCCTAAAGGACCGTAGAATCTTAAGTAAGTAAGAGTGTACTGTGATTCTGTTATAATTTTTGTATTGTTCCTTGCAGTATAAATGGGAAGAAAGAAAAACTTTTGCACCAGGGTGCATGTCTTCCAGTGACCACACTGGAATTAAATTCTTCTATTTTCCCAGGGATTCAGCACGGTATGAGCCAGATCTGAAATATTATTATAAAACATACTGTAATAATTTCCGGCCTCCGTAGTCTAGAGGTAACGTTCCCACCTCATGACTCGTAGTACGCAGGTTCAAATACCCGGCGGAAGGGCGGAAAAGTTCAGGGAACAAGTCCTCCTGGAGGGACTTTAAGCCGTGGATCCCGTGTCGTAGCTTTACGGCACGTAAAAGAACCTCATGTCTCCAAAGGAGGCCACTGAGCAAAATNACTACTGTAATAATTTGGCCAGTGTTATTAAAGGAGCTAAAAATCTTCATTATAATCAATTAATTTCTAATTCTCATAACAAAATGAAAACCACTTGGACATTATAAAATCAGACAGGTAGAAAAATTAATAATGCGGGTATACAGTTTTTAAACATTGATGGGAAGTTAAGTGATAATCATGATGTTATTACAGATTCTTTTAATAATTATTTTCGAACAACAGCTGGAAAACATCAATTCCAATAATGTTCATCGGCATTTTCTGTGATTTGAAGAAAACTTTTTACTGTGTCAATATTTGTCTGTCTCTCTCTCTCTGTCTAAAGTAGAATTTTATAGAATAGTTGGTAAGGCCAATGCATTGATAAAATCCTATGTGAAAGATAGGTACCAAAGGGTAAGTTACTGCCTCAGAACCAAGTTGTAATCAAACAAACTTCATTATCATTTGACTTGAATTAACTTCTGAAACTGTATATAAATATACAAGTTATGTAGAATATGTCACAAATACTGTTTTTAGGATAATTAAAAAATATTTGAAAAGCAGACGACACTATCAGTGTGAATTAGGTGGCAAAGATTTTAATATGAGGAATCACGTAATGAAATGTACAAGTTTTGTATAACGTTAGTCCTTTGTAAAGTAATGTGTTATTTTCCAATGTAAAGAAACTGTAATTCACCACGTAAGGAGGCACACTAACCTGTGTTCCCCCCCCCCCATTCAGTTGGGTGCAACAGCGAGTACATGGCAACAGCTCTGTTTGTCGAGGAGGTTGACAACCTGTTCGATAGTTTCAATGGTGGAACAAGTGTTGGCCGAGGGAACACACTGCGTTGCCCAATCAGTGAAAACAGTCCCCATATAGAGCTCTGGAAAAAGGCAAGTTTGGGGATAAAGAGTTGGATCTTCCTCAAGATCCTCCTCCACAGAATGGGTGGCTGATTGACATCACTGCTGCCCAGCATGTGTGCAGGACACTGAAAGAGGTGGGTTTTGAGTACCTTCACACCCAAAACCTGAATATGTGTGCCAACTAGTCACATGAGCATCATTAAATGTTTGATAAGTTGGAGAAAGTATCCCTGGTGACACGCAGTTGCAGTGCAGCAACAGAACCTACTGTGCAGAGAATGATAACATCGGCATCCACAGATCAATTGCACACAAGGAACCTGCTTTGAACTTGGAACTCCATCTCTTTCCCACTTTGCAAACATGTTTCCTTTGTCTCAGAATATTAGAACTTCACTTGGTCAGAGTTCATTCTGGCCTTTATCTTCAGTATATTATATTTCAACCGAGAATTGTATGGGAAATTTGTTTTTGACACCCATGGGTCTTGTTTATGTGTAGGTAAGACTGAAGAGGCATTACTTTATAACTGACTGGCAAAGTTCAGGTTATCCACCTCAGTGTGAAACTGAGAAGCAAAATCAGTATCAGGATTGAATGTGGGTAGGACTAATTATGTAATTTCTTTACCCATTTCATTAAATTTATTCAATACTGAAGTGGAAAGGTTTATATCTTTCCATTACTGACCTGGAATATGAATAGATACCAGATTGTCAGTATTCATTATATTTCTTTGTAAGATATATGTTACTTTTGCCATATAAACCTTTCCATTACTGGACCAGTATATGAATGATACCAGATTTTCAGTATTCATTACATTTTTTGTAAGCTATGTTACTTTTGCCATATAAACCTTTCCATTACTGAACTGGAATATGAATGGATACCAGTTTGTCACTATTCATTACATTTATTTAAGATATGTTATTATTTCTGCCATATTATTCTGCCCAGTACTGAACTAGTGAAGATGAATATATCACATTTCCGAATTCCACCATTTGAATGAAAATAATAATAAATGGGAACATGAGTATTGTTTTGTACAATATATGATTTTTAATACTTAAATGTGACCAAAAAACTGTGTTCTGTATGGCTCTCAATTGTACATTATGAGAAAATTATGAGGTTTAATATATGTATCTCTGATGGAAACAAAATTTTCTTTCAAGTTTCCCCACCTTCAGCTTTCCTAAATACAACTATTCCATGTTTGTCACGGTTCACAATGTTCAGTGCCTTTGGTTAGAGAGGTCTTTCATGTGAAAGAAAGGTTATGATTTTCCAGGCACTGGTGAGAAACTTTCTCCAGATAAATAATTTGCAACCTAATCTCTTGTGCTCCAGAGCTGCAGAGGCTCTTATTCCATCTTTTTTTTTTTTTTGAAAGGGGATGGGGGACCAAGTTTAATAGAAATTCACTCAAATCCAACCCAAAGGATATGGGTGAAGTGATATTAAACTTCCTTATGGAGCTGAGCCCTTCTTGAAAAGTAGTCAATTGTGCAGCCACTCAAGAATTTTCCAGCCTTTTGTAGAACCCAAAGGTTCATTACTGTGTTCACAAGAGTCCTCCACTGGTCCCTATCCTGAGCCAGATCAGTCCAATCCATACCATACCATCCTATTTCACCAGGATACATTTTAATATTGTCCACCCACCTATACCTTGGTCTTCCCAGTAGTTTCTTTCCTTATGATTTTCCCACCAATATCCTATATGAATTCCTCGCCTCCCCCATTCATGCTACATGCCCTGCCAACCTCATCCTCCTCGACTAGTGATATTCCGTACTCAATATCACAAGTCGAGGTGGATGAGGTTGGCTGGGCATTTATCACGAATGGGGGAGGAGAGGAATGCATATAGGATATTGGTGGGAAAGCCAGAAGGAAACAGACTCTGCAGTACAAGAGAGCTGGTTGTAAAAGTATTTAATGGTACTAGCGAAAAAAGCATTGGAAGGGGCAGAGGGGGGAGCACTCAAAATAATTGGTAAAGTGGCATACCTTCTTACTGTTTCTCCTCTCGGCCCAGGAAGCCATTTTAAATTTAGTTCCTGTACGAGGAGATAGATGGCAGCAGCATTTCACCGAGGTGTCATGGCGGCCATGACACGTCGATGAAATGCTGCTGCCATCTATGTTCAGCTTACATTACTAAATTAAAAATGACCTCCAGGACCGAGAGCACAATCGGTAAGAAGGTATGCTATCTTAGCAACTATTTTGAGTGCTCCCCCTCACCCCCTCAAAATGCTTTTTTTCGCTACTAGCAATAAATACTTTTACATCTCCTGTACTGCAGTCTCTCTTTCCTTCTGGCGTTCCCACTAATAACCTATATGCATTCCTCGCCTCCCCATTCGTGCTACATGCCCTGCCAACCACATCCTCCTCGACTAGTGATATTGAACACAGTTCAAAGTATTCATTTCCCCACCAACCTATTTCCATTTTTGAACTGTATTCAATATCACTAGTCAAGGAGGATGAGGTTGGCAGGGCATGTAGCACGAATGGGGAGGCGAGGACTGCACATAGATATTAGTGGGAATGCCAGAAAGAAAGAGACTACTGGGAAGACGAAGATGTAGGTGGGTGGACAATATTAAAATGTATTCTAGTGAGATAGGATGGTATAGACTGGATTGGACTGATCTGGCTCAGGATAGGGACCAGTGGAGGGCTCTTGTGAACATAGTAATGAACTTCGGGTTCTACAAAAGACTGGAAAATTCTTGAGTGGCTGCACAAGAAGGGCTCAGCTCCATAAGTATGTTTAATGTCACTTCACCCATATCCTTTGGGTTGGATCTGAGTGAAGTTCTACTAAACTTTGTCCCCAACCCTTTCCAAAAAAAAAAAGTAACAGCAGAATAAGAGCCTCTGCAGCTCTGGAGTACAAGAGATTAGGTTGCAAATTATTTATCTGGAGAAAGTTTGTCACGAGGCCTGGAAAGTCATAACCTTTCTTTCACATGAAACACCTCTTTAACCAAAAGCACTGAACATCGTGAACTGTAACATACATGGAATACTTGTAATTAGGAAAGCTGAAGGTAGGGAAACTTGAAAGAAAATTCTGTTTCAATCAGAGATACATATATTAAGCCTCATAATTTCCTCATAACTTACACTTGAAAGCCATAAGGAACACAGTTTTTCGGTCACATTTAAGTATTATAAAT